CAAATATGAAGTTCATCGATGGTGAAAATATTTTTGTGATGATGTATATTTACAAATAAACCAAGACAATATCTAATATATGAAAAGGGAAAGAAATAACAGAAATGCCTGTGTCCTTAAAACCAATTTTCTTTTACCGAAACTAATTTTCTATTCGTGTTTTTTTTAATCACGGCTATTTCAGATTAATGTATAAGCGTGATAAGCCACAGAAGTTGCAAAGTTGCACGTGCCTTTAGTGTTAAAACAAACCATAGCAAAATACGTAAAGGGCAAAAGGCTGTCAAAATAGATAATTTTTTTATATAACAAATACATTTTCGTGCATTTTTATTTTTGTTAATATTTATCATGTAAACACAGAAATAGAGCAATAGTGAAGCATTTGCAAAACTGTGCTAAAATTTCGAATTACCAATGTATTATATGAAAACTCTCGCTTGTGTAACGCTGAAAACGGTGCCACTACACTTTTTTTTTTGATCGAGTTAATGAGTTCAGATCTTTTTTGTAATTGGAACAAGTTAAAGAATAGGTGGATCGAGTTGATTGATCGAGACATGCATTTAACGTACTATTTAATCGTTTTTTCATCTTAAGGATGTACTAAGAAAGCGCCAAAATCATAGAAAGTGTTGGAACAAACAACGGAACAAGACATTGGATTTTCGCTAGGTAGCTGAGATATAATACACATGCGCAAAAAGATATTGCAGGAGAACGCTGCTTGAATTATTTTTAGGCTTAAAGCAGAAATTTACTATTTGTAATAAAGATAAGTTTCTCGACATGTGTTTACTCGCTCTCGTTATCCTGTATATTGAGTTGTACTTTGACCAGCTGTACTTGCATTATGACTACATTTATTTTAGTTATAACTTTTATCAACAATTAATGTAATATGGAATTATAAAAAAAGTATAAAAATGTTAATTTCGGTTCAAAGTGTTAAATAGTGTCATTACATTCTTAATTTTTTTCTCAAAATGATATAAAAATTATTATACTGTTAATTTAAATTCACAGGGGAAATATTTTAGATAATAATACACTTTTCAAAATTTAAAAAAGAACCTACGAAATCTGATGCAACGCTTAAAGTGTTTAATTTAGTTTTAATTAAAAATAAAAAATGTCTTTAGTTTCAAAAAGTAATGCTTGAGAGATAAATTTAAAAAATCGATTAAACCTTAAGTTAGAATTAGAGTTAAATTATAAGACCTATCTTATATCTTCTCAAGATATTTAAACTTTCATAACTTTCATGGATTTTTAACTTTTTTTTCCTAGGACGGCGAAAGGCTAATTTTTGTTCATTTAAAAGTCATTCCTTCCTTTAATTGATAATGGCCTTGTGGATTTAAAAACATTGCTGTTTCACGAAATTATAAATGTCACACGTTTGCCTAAATTATATGTATTACGATAAATATATTTTTAATTATTGAAAGATAGAGTTACAAACATAATTTAATACTTAACAAATACAATATATATGATGAATATTTTTAAAATTAGAGTTATTAAATTATAATTTAATGTATTATAATAAAAAAAGACTTATTATGCTTTTCTATTTTAATGTCTTTAATTACATTTTATTATTTACAAACTTTTTTCTTCTAACGTAGATTTTATGTTTAATCTATTGATGGAATAAAAATAATAGGATTACTAATTGAGGTCACTTAACCTTTTGCTGCTGTAATTAAAGTCTGATTGATTTTTTACAGAAATAACGCTTGAAGGGATTTGAAATATTTAGAAAAATTGATATAGAAAAAAAATTTTTTTATGTAATTTTCCATTTATAATTATATATATATCTGTATACTTTTAGTTTTCTAAATTTTTTAAATAAGTATATAAAAATTAAAAATTTTAAATTTAATTCCATTTTTATTACATTAATCAGTATATTATTTTGTTTTCGTAGATAAATATAGTTCGTGTTCTTAGTTAATTTAAAATTTAATAGAAGAAAATTTTATGGACAGTTTTTTTAAGAAATACTGTTCCAAGAATATATTTACATCGAAGTGCTGAGATTGATTAAGGATAAAGCTATGTAGTAATCTAACTTGGTTATTGCAACTTCGAAAGTAATTATGTCTTATAAGAGAGTTAAATTCCTTAGAGGCTCATAAAAGAGCGTTGAAAACTTTTATTTATAAACAAATACTTATGATAAATATTTTTTTCAATACAGTTAGTATTGAACTTTTTATTATAATTGGATTTGGACATATTATATAAACTAAAAATAGTTGAACATCGGATGAGCAAAAATATAAACTTTTATTTCTTCATTTTGTTATATTGAAGTTTCCAATTTAACCAACTAATGTGACTTCAACGATTTTATATATTCACAGGCAAATTTGATAATAGTATTTATAAATATTTTTTTATATTTGTGTAATTGTATTATTATCAGTTTTTAATTTAATAAATCAATTGGTTAGTTATTTTTAAGGGTTTTCAGATTTCATTTCGCGCACTTGAAGTTTCTTGGTATACTAGACGAACTTTCTTAAATTTAATTAAGAGATTACCGTTTCCTTTAATAACACAATATCACTTTATAAACCATCTATATATTATATTGTTTACTTCGTCGTGGGCCTTCTTGTATGTATAATTTGTAGATAAAATTATAAAACAGCGAAGATAAAAGAATATCATGCTTTTCCATTATTCTGAACTGAATCCATAATGTGTACTTGTTTTTATGCTTTTCTTATTTTTAAAATAGTTGCATTACGATTGATATATACTGTACGAATACAAATAATATACTATAAAATAAATATTTTCAATGAATATGACAAAATAAGTGTGTACAATGCGTTGGAGTTAAATAAAATGAGATACTTTGAAATTTCATTCTAGTGAAAATATATTTTAGCGATAATTGGCGTAGATAAAAAGATACACGACCTGGGCACTAAAATTGCAATGTACTGTTTTTATTAAAACCAGCTGGTAACTCAACTAAATTCACGAACAAATATTTACCATTGGAACTACCGTATCGAGTGTTATTACTTCTCGTTGTATCGTACAGGTAATGAGATATAATGTGCTGCTGGCTATGTTCCTACAGTTCTTATTTTTTAGTCGTTTTTTCGACTTCCAAAAATACTTTATTATTTGATTCTTATTTCTGCACGTTTATTGCGTAGTGGCGTTCGCACGCACAAGCATCTGATGTATTTATGCTGCAGATAGCAGCATCTATAGCAAAGCTTCACTTTCAGTCATTATGCAAAGTCCAAAATTTATTCAGACCCTCAGTATAATGTACATGTCTAAAGTGACCATAATATTTTTCATAGCATCTTTCATTGATGTTTTCGGTCTATTGACTATGTTCACTTTATAAGAACAATAATTTTTTCAATATATGTAGTCCGTTCCTCTTAATCCTTTAGCGGAAAATGTTTTTAATGGTGCAATTTATGGATATTTTATTGCTATTTGACTTATAATTGGACTTTCAATAAATTTATAAACATGAAAACAATGAATTGAAATTCTTCACAATTTTCGTTTCATAACAATGCTTTATTCTTATTAGCTTTCTCGTGTGGTAATTTTATTCAATCAGCTACAACTAACTATTAAATTTAATTAAACTGTACATAGGTATTTGTATACCATACTTTATTTCAGCCTACTTTTTATAGTATTATAATAATTAACATACATTGACTATCTAATTTGCATGCACAGTAAGTGTACTAAATTTAAGTTCTTATTTCTTCAATAAAATAAAGTCATTTTTCTAACCCAATTTAAACTTAAAAAAAGTCAGTAAAACTACTGAAAAAACATGATGGCAATTATATGTTGAGAAAGTTGATACTATTAAAATCAACTGTTACTAATTATCTGGGATCAGACTAAAAGCTTCCCTGAGATGATGAAGGGAGGCTTGATAGTAAGTGGAATGGACAATGCAATAATTCAACACTGCCTTTGTATGAGTTGGTTTTCCTTTTATTTAATATAATGATATAATAAATAATCAGTGGTCTATTGAGGTGAGATTGAATGAATGATACAATGAATAGGTGAGAGTTTCTTCAGGTAATATGAGTGATAATAGTCTTGTAAGTGTGTTCTTGATGTGACGCGTGATTCTCCTACTCGTGGTTATGAATCGTAGTGGTAGTGGGAGATGCGCTGATGAGGGGTAATGATGCCGTGACGAGTGTCGCGCTGTGAAGGGGGAGCGTTGGTGCCGCCGTTGCCGCTGCCGATAAGCTAGAGAGGCCTGAGTGGTGGCGTTGGTGTGTGACGTCACTGATGAAGGGCAATGATGATGCCGTGGTCTAGGTATTGCTGCTTGCTTAGTTTACGGATCCGTGTGTTAGTGATTCGTAAGAACGTGTGTAATAGCGTAGCTTACGTGTGGAGTCGATCTCGGTGTATTGATGGAACGTAAGGACGTGTGTAATAGGGTGACTTACGAGTAGTGAGTTCGATCCGTGTGGTGGTATTGGGAGATAATCTCTGTAGGTGGGGGCGGTCTGTGTGAATTGAAGGTGATCTCTGTGCAAGTGGCATTGACTTGTAGGACGGTGATTTGTGTGAATTGAAGGTGATCTCTGTGTAAATGGCGTTGACTTGTAGGACGGCGATCCGATCTTGATGACTGCTTGATTGAACTAGTAAGAGAACGAGAGTGTCAAGTGCAGCTCATTAAATATTCTCGTACGAACTTGCTGCGCCGATAGCGCATCGGTGGTTGTTGCTAGGCCGATGTTTGTCGTGACGTCAACAGGGCATAGCCTTGTAGGGTTCATTTGTTATTACTTTTCTCGGAATTGTAATGTAATTTTGACTATTTGAGTATTGAATTTTCTCGATTTCGGAGAATCGTGTTTACGACTTGGCGCGCAATATTTTGACCTAAGCAAGTGTCTTTATCTCTCCCACTTTATTTACCGCGTAAAAATGCTGCAATCCGTAACATTCCGTCCGCCAACATCAATTCATTGATGATTAATATCTGTATCTTCGATGGGAACTGGCAGAGGTGCAAGAATGTGAATTGGTCTAGAGATTATCGAGGATGTGGTTTTTAATGTTACTACTCTAGTTAGTCCATCCTTTCCTGGGTGCAGTTTCATGACTCTCGCGAGTGGCCACTTGCATTGTGGTTGTCGTTGATCTGTGATGAGGACTAGAGATCCGACCTTGATCGTGTTGCTTGGGTGATGCCACTTGAAGGTTGAGAGGAATTGCTGTAGGTAATGTTTTCTCCATTGCTTCCAGTATCGTTGGACTCGTTTTTGAATAAATTGCCACCTTGATATCATTGACGCGTTGGGATCACTTGCGGAAGGGTCAGGAAGCGTGTTGAGAGGTTCTCCTATGAGGAAGTGACCTGGAGTAAGTGCAGAGCAGTCATTAGGGTCGTCCATCAATGGTTGTATTGGGCGTGAGTTCAGGATGGCCTCTATCTGGGTTAGCAGTGTGTTAATTTCTTCAATGGTGACTGATGCGTCTCTTGTTGTTCGATTGATATGGAACTTGACGGACTTCACTGCGGCTTCCCATTTTCCTCCCATGTGGGGGGCAGCAGGTGGATTAAATTCCCACTGCGCATGGTCATTCATGAGTGTGGTTGTGATGTGGTGGTGTTCCTTCGTGCGTTGAATGAAAAGTTTTTTCAATTCCTTGTCAGCTCCGAATCTCTTTGCTGAATAATCACCTACCACTTCAATGTGTATTGCGGAGGTTGCGAGGCACACAAATACGCAAATCCAGGCCTTGTAGGTCTTTGCTCCTCTACCCTTCCAAGTTTTTATGGTAATGGGACCAGCGTAATCTACTCCAGTGTGAGTGAATGGTCGCGATGGCGTTACTCTTGAGGCAGGTATTAGTTGGCTAGCGAGGCCTCCGCCTTGTTTAGCACACGTAACGCATCGAAGGATGTATGATTTTACCGCTGATCTTCCTCCAATGATCCAGTAATGTTGTCGGGTGTATGACAGTGTAATTTGAGTGCCTCCATGAAATGTTCTGAATTTCCATTATGATTCTGTGTGCATGTATGTAGGCGGTGAGTCGATGGAATGCGTGTGATGAGGTCAGGCCTGTTGTTTGCATCGCTTGTAATTCTTGGGCCAGGTGTGCCCTTTGGGTCAGCCGTATCCACTGTGTTCTGGCCTGATTTAATTCATCACGTGTGAGTTGGTTTGTAGAAGGGCGTTTGCCCCTTAGGCATGTGATGAATCTAATGCATGTTGCAGTTATTCTTAATAGTTCAGTCAATGTTTGGTAATTGTAAAGAATGTCCTAGTCGTATTCCGACGTTTTAATAGTGGCGATTAACGAGATGCTTGGACGGGCTTCCTGGTCGCATTGGTCCTCTTTGTCAATTGGTTGTGTTGGCCACGAGTTTGGAGTTAGTGTCCATGGAGGATCAGTCCACCATAAAGGGTGAGTTTTAAGTTGTTGGGTGGTGAGTCCTCTGGATGCGCAGTCGGCTGGATTTGAGGTTCCGGGCACATACCTCCATTGTGCTTCTGCTGTGAGTTCTTGAATTTGTGTGACTCTGTTGCACACAAATTCCTTCCATCGTGATGGGTGAGCCTTGATCCAGGTCAGGTTTACTCGTGAGTCCGTCCATAGATGTGTTGCCCTTATCCTTAAATTTAGTGAAGTTTTGATGCGTGTGGTGAGCTTTGATAGTAGTAATGCGGTTGTTAATTCTAGCTTAGTTATTGTTAGTTTTTTAAGTGGTGCCACCCTTGTTTTTGAACATATGAATGTGACGGTCGGTTCATTTTCTTCATTGTATATTGCCATGTATATGACGGCAGCCATTGCTAGTTGCGATGCGTCAGCGAATCCATGTAGTTCTATGTTGGATGTTTCCTTTGTTTTGAACCACCGAGGTATGGTTAATTCGTTTAGTGTTTGTAATTCTCTTCTGATGGTGTGCCATCGATTGACAACTTGAGCTGGGAGGGGATCATTCCATTCAACTGAGTGGAGCCATAGTTCTTGGAGTAGTAATTTAGCTCGTATTATTACGGGAGATGCGAATCCCAATGGATCAAACAATTTTGCAATGTCAGAGAGAATGGTACGCTTTGAGGTGGTGGTTGCTTGGGGAGCCAATGATGTTGAGAATGAGAAGATGTCTTCGTGGGACCTCCATTGCAGTCCTAGAATTTTGGTGGCATCTTCGGTTAAGTTGAAAGACTGTTTCGGATTTGGCGGGACCTCAATGGCGGTTATTACTTCTTCGTTGGTAGAGTGCCATTTTGCTAGCGCGAATCCGCCCGCCATGCAGAGGTCTCTTAATTGTGTTGTTGTCCCTACTAGTTGAGTTGGATTGTCTGCACCGCCAAAGATGTTGTCCACGTATCTTCCGTATTTTATAGGGGGTACAGCGTCTTGTATGAGTTGAAGGAGTGTTCGTACAGCTAGAAATGGGGCCGCTCTGGTCCCATATGTGACAGTGGTTGATTGATAAATGACCTCGTTGCCCAGTTCGTCTATCCACAGGATTCGCTGTAGATCCCAGTCGTCTTGGTGGACCAGTATCTGTCGGTACATCTTTGTGATATCTGTGGAGAATAAGTACCTGTATTTGTGGATCCAAATTAGTACATCTACAATGTTTGGGTTTAGGTCGGCGTAGGTGTGCATTATGTCATTCAATGATCGTCCGGTCGAGGATGGGCTCGATCCGTTGAAGACGACTCTTAGCTTAGTCGTAGAACTGTCCGGTTTTAGCACACCATGGTGTGGCAGATAGTACGCCATTTTGTTGGATTGGTAGTTTGTTGGTAGTCTTCGCATATGATTCCTGTTCTCGTATTGTGTCATGAACATATTCATAGTTGTTTACGAATTGACGCGCAATATTTTGACCTAAGCAAGTGTCTTTACCTCTCCCACTTTATTTACCGCATAAAAATGCTGCAATCCGTAACACTAATTATTTCTGAGATATGCAATATTTTTCATATTAAATGATTTATTTATATTTTGTTATTTTTATACTAGTATCATAATACAATTACATTACAACAATTGTTTCTTATATTAATTTATTCAATTTATTTATGTTAAATTAAGCATTTAGATACATAACTAAAATGTCTGTGTTTGTAATTATAATTGATTGATTGATAATTTATGAAATTGATTAAAAAGTTTCAATTTAACAATAATGAAATCAAAAGACTCAATCGGATAAATCTTGATAAATGAAAAAGAAAAGGTTTTTTGACTTGAAATTTTTTAAAAAAATGTTAACGAACTGTAATAAATAGTGATATAGAACAAAACTATAAATATGAAGAAAAAAATAGCTCTAATAATAGGTTATATTTTAAATGTATTCTCTTATCTTTTCCAGGGGACAAAGGATAGGTTCTGCTTTTAACTCATATAGTATGAATTCCATGGGCTATAGTCTGAAACCATATTTCAATACTCATGGGAATACTCATTTTTCTTTAAAATGCTTTGGCTAAATATACTCATTTTCCTACGTGTTTAACAAAAAATTTAAGTTGAATTAAATACTTGGAAAATTGAAAAAATGAAGAGTCGTTTGGTAGTGGCATGCAATGAAGGAATAAGTAAATGTATATCCTGAAATTAGGATATTCATAAACATCTCTTCGATAAGCATACAAATATTCATCGCTGGTAACATTAGACGTATCAGGAGAAGGAGGCGGCGGAAGATTAAGACTATTTTAGAATATCATCTTCTACGAAATCATATACTGCTAGTAAAATGACAATTTATATGCGAGAATGAAATTTTAATTATATCCATAAGATATAGAATTTTTCATATTTAATGTTAATATAATAATTTTAGAGATATTTCTATATTTATTTTCGTGAAAGCTTATTTTCCAAACTCAAATTTCTTTTGAAGAAATGGAGCTGCGAAAAACTAATTCATGAATAGTCATTACTTATTATTATAGTCATTACCCTAATATTTGAGATAAATAAAAGTTCACTTATTTAAATACTGAAAATCTTATCGAATGAATCAAAGGTTAGATTGAAAAATACATTATTGTATTCGTTAACTGAATATACAAGAAAAATCATCGTGGTATCGTATAGTGAATGAAAACTAACTCCACCGAACCTAGAACTTCACAATAGTGACGTCTGTCGATATTGGCTTTACATATAAAAATACGATATCTCTTAAAAAAAAATTAACATTTTACTAAATAGAAATAGAGGAATGGCCCGTAGCAACGTAGCAACTTACATTGCTAAACTATTCTTATTTACTAACAATCTCTTATGCAAAATAAAAAATTACTGGTATGTTTATCTAATAAGAGAGCATGAGCACATGCATGCTAAAATGTAAAATAAAATTTTCTTTTTCCAAAGAAGAATCATAATAATTTTAAAAGTTTGCTTTATTTACGTAAATAATTTATATAAATATTCAAATATAAATATGTAGCATACATTTTTTTATAAACTAGTAGTTATTCCTTTAATGTTGGAACCAAAGTTAAACAAATGAAGTTTAACTTTATCAATATTAGTTGTACGTATTATTATATTTACGTACTATTAATATAATATATATTAATATTAATTAATGAGAATGTTTATTATTTATTTAAATTATCTAAATATAATATATAGAAGTAATATAATATATATATTATACGCTAATTTAATCTTCTGTTACTCCTTTATTGATCGTGAAATTTAATCTATTTCTAAAAGTTAGTTCTATTTTTATATTATAAAGCTATCAGTTGTCATCAGTTATTAGTTATTGATGTCATCACTTTTTATACATTTTTCTTAACAGAATGGATATTTGTAGTGATTTTGATTTAAATAAAACTTTAGAACTATGTGTATAATTAAATAAAAGGCAGTTCCAAAGATAATTAATTATATGCTTTGCATAATTTGTCGTTTTGTAATTAGGGTATTCTTTATTCTATTATAAATCATAATAAAATGTAACAAACATATTTTTTCTTTAATTTAATTTTTTATTTGCTTTACAATGAGTTTTTTTGGGGATTCATCTTGAGAAATTGATTAGAATGTATATTAAATTATAATAAAACATATTAAATTATAATAGAGTATATAAAATTATAATTTCGTCATTTATTAATTAGAATATTAATTTATAGTCAGATAAAATAAGATAATAGTGAGAAGGAGACTATGTAATTATTTTGTTACAAAATTATTCAATTTCAACATCAATATTTATTTTGTTCGACATATAATTAAATGAGAATTAATTTTTCAACTTTGTTATTTTTTTAAAAGCAGAAAAAAATGCAAATGATAATGGAGCAAACGAAAATTTGAGAAAAGTTGTTGGTAAATAAAAATTGAGTTTAAGAAAAGAAAATGGATAAAATATTGTCAAATGTAAATTAGTTAAAACTTAATTATAAAGATCTGATTCATTATAAATATTCTTAAGACTCAGAAAAAATGTAGCATCTACGGTTTCTAAAAAAATTCTTTTCATCTAAGCGAATTAAAAGGTTCTCGCGTTCTGTTATATCTAAGTTCTGTATGGATACATGTAGCAACGACTATAAAGGTGCAAAGAGCTCATGGCACAGGCTACCATTAGTAAGGGAGGGAGAAATTCTCTAAGGAATTAATAATGCTTAGCTTAATTCAAAGCGTGCCGCTTTACTATATAATTTAAGATCCCCGCATATTTATGTATACACGTGAGATTTTCAGGTGCTTCATTCGGTTTTAAGTAAATAATGGACTAATCATTTGTCATAGACATTCCATGAATATGTTAAGTGGGGTCTACTGCAAGTTCGCACATCGCTGATTACACATTATTATCTTACTGATCATCAATTTGCGTAATTGGGCGATCACGACGCTAGCAAACGAGCGGTCAAATGTTCGCCGGTATTTCGGGAGATACAGGCCTGATTATAAGTCTATTATATTGTATATACTATTGTGTAAGAGGAGGAGGAGTGAGAGTTCTCCTATTTAATTTTTTTTTCTATAGTTCACTAGTCCGTTATCGTTGATGAATCAACTAAGTTTGTGTAGAATCCTGAGGTTTTATATGAATTCAGTATTTTTTTGTTTTTTGTTAATTGAAAACAAATGAAACAAATCGAAACAAATTTAATTAATCATTTTTTTGAATTTGTTCGAATATTTCTATATTCATATTTAAATATATAAGAAAATTTCCCTGTAATAAACAATCTTTCAATACTAATTTGAACAAGTCAATTATAGTTATAAATATTTTCATTTTCTAAATATTATACTATACTAATGTACTAATTATTATATGTATATGTAGCTAAAAGATACTTTTCAAAAGTAATTTTAATATTAATTTTTTACTTTTAAACAAAGACAAATAGTTTTAACGAATCATATATTTCTTTATAATAATAAAAAAATAAAAGAGATCTAATAAAAATTTTACTGCAAAGATTAAGAAAATTAGGAATCATATAAAAATGATATATCGAAATTCAAATGAGCTGTGTCTTTTATGTTTATTTATATTTATTCTCATATATATCATGTAAAATTAAATTGCTTTATTCTATTTAATTAAATAGATAGTACCTTGTATGCTCATTGTTGAATTTTCAAAAATCTAATTATTGTTATCGGATTAGATGTATGAACAGTATTATTTACTCATAAGATTTAGGTGATTTGAATAGACTGAACGGATTTCAAAAATAATCTAAAGGAGCAAACAGTAAATTATATAAATATTATTTTTATAATTATTTCTTTAATTCAATTAAAACACAGGAGAAAATTATTATATAAAGTTAAAAGTATAAAATGTAAAAACGAATTAATTAATATTTTTTATTTTACTCGATCTATTTTATTACAATTTCGTTCAAAATTATAATTACAGTATATTTACTTTTTTTTAAATATTGTAATACTAGTCTGTGTAATTTCAAATCGGTTTTAAAAATTTCAAAACAATTATCTACAAGTAATTAAATTTAATATTGAAATGGTATAATGTTATTTGTAAAAGTTTAAAGTAAAGATGTTCTATTAAATGATGATTGTTATAATTTTTTATACTTCAATTCAACTAAAAATATTCCTTACATTCTTTACTTTATACAATTCAACATAGAAAAACTGTTTCACTCAATTGGTTTACGAAAGTTTTAAAGTTGATTTAAGTTTTTTTTCTACATAATCCATAGTATGACTTAGACAAATTTATAACAACATAGAAGATATTTTATAAATTTCAGTATTATATAAATTGTATTATTTTTTAACAAAAGTATTTGTGTAATATTAGCTGTATTTTTATTTTAATGAAAGCTATTAATAGCTTTATATTTGTTTTACAAATGTAATAATTTATTGATAAAACAAATACATGCATTTAATTAGACATGATCATATATTGGATTTTAAAAGGAACATTATTGATTTTTATTTGTTATCTATAACTAGCAAAATATATAAATTAAAAAAATTAATAATTAAGATATTATTGAATAATAATGAATAGAAAATATAATTAATCAAGGTGCAATACGTTTGTGTAGCTTAAAATGTGGTTTAAAAATATATACATCGTTGTCGTATATAGCGCTTATATAGTTAAATAAATCTTTTGCATATCCACCTATTCTTTTCCTATTTCTTAATTATTACTTTTACCATTTTATGAATAATTTTTTGTGTCCCATTGCTTGGCCATTTAAAAGAAATAGAAGCGATCCTAACTCTTGCGAATACTGCACCAACAGTCGATGAAGAATAATAACCTTCCGAAAAGGGATATATTTTTCTTTTACCATATAGATATGTCCCATCAGTTTCGT